CTCATTACCTTATACTTCTCTGAGCCAAGAAGATAACAGAGACTAAGAATAACCTGTGACTGTAAGGAAGACACTTTATTCCACAAAAATACATCATTTATATACAGTTTGCATCGATATATAAAACCACTAGATCAAAGATTTAATAACTTATTTTGATTGGCTAACTGTAAAAAGATTGTCCAATAAAGTTTTTCCTGACCACGCAGAGATACGAAACAAAAGTTGAAATATAAGAGCGTTCTACCTTAGCGGTTGGTAACTTAACATGTTGATTTCCATTTAGATCACTTTCTATCAGATATAATTTACAAGTTTGAGGAAATGAAACGGAGTTATCTATCAATAAAAAAAAGCCAGCATAAAAAACGCGCTGAATTATTTTCTTGTTGAGAAAAAAATAATTTAATGATTTATTGTCTATACATTTTTGTAGTTGAATCAAAAAGTGAATCTCAATATTTTAAAGGCTAAATTGTTTTGTAAGAAAGTCTTTAACCGGGAGACTGTTGAAGAGTCCTGAGTAAGACGAAACGCCTGTTCAATTATTGATGATACTAACTAGTTCATCAAGTTACAATTAACTTAGGCTTTTTTAAGGCAATATTCAAGTATCCAATCAAAAAGTCAATTACATTTTGTGAATTAAACACAACTAAGTCAAGGTATAATTACAACAACAACTTCAATGCATTGGAAAAGAGATGTCTGTGGTAAATTAGTACCTTCGTGTGCCTTAAAGGATAGAATTAGAGTAGCAACACCAACACTGATTACAGTGAGAGTAGCTTCAGGCAACAAGTCTTAGATGGAACGAATATTGAAAAGTAGATTCCACTGCCGACCACCCACTCACTATTCAAGTATCATAATCAAGAAGTAAGATATGCTAGCGTTTATGTAGACATAAGAGATATGAAATTGAAATCGGGCTTATAATACCATCGTAACTAATATGCAATACAGCATAAGGCTAGTAAAGCATAGGTTATTTGGTAGTATCTTATCAAACAGGAAATCAGTTAATACTGTCTAAAAGTGCCTTTAAATATAAGTTAATCAATCAGTGGAATAACTTGGTCAGGTAATTAGAATCCACTTGAAGACAGGACATCAAGTGAATATAGGGAAGACAGACGTGATGAAGATACTCAACCAACACCACCACCAACAACAAGCACCAATCACCATGAACGGGAGAAACCTAATGGAAGTAGTCTCCTTCACCTATCTAGGCAACACTGTTTCAACTACAGGCGGCACAGATGAGGACGTCGATGCAGCCAGGATCAGAAAACCAAGACAGGTTTTCATTAATCTGAAATAATCAGTGTGGAGATCTACTACACTGCACTCAGCACAAAGAATAAGATGCGGATTTTCAATACCAATGTCAAGTCAGTGGTGCTTTATGGTTAAGAGACTTGGCGCGTCACGAAAGGGATTTGCAACAAACTACAAACATTCATCAACAACTACCTACACTGGCTCGTTACTGAAGATCAGATGGCCAGAATAATAAGAATAAGCAGCAAGGAAGTTACTGTGGCTGGTAACGAACCAACCAAGAAGCTATCGCTGAACAAATATGCAGCAGAAGGAAGTGGAGATGGATTGGGCATACACTGAGAAGGCCGAGTGGGGATATCACACGCCAGGCCAGGCCCTCGAGTGGGACCTAGATGGGAAGCGACGATTTGAGCGTCCGAGGCTAGGGTGACGTGGAGGAGATCTTGTGAGGAAGAAATGAGAGCTTGTGGGCAGTTGTGGAGCCAGGTTCAAAAGATTTCAGAGAACAGAGTGTAATGGAGGCGTGCTACTGAAGACCTATATTCCACTAGGAACCCAAGGGAAAAATAATAATAATAACACAGATGGAATGTTTTTGATCACGAATAAAAATATTTCAACTACTACTATGACAGCCTGGTATAACGTTTGTTAGTTGGAATGAAATTCAAGCCTGATCATTTGTAAAGTCATATAACTCAGTCTTCAGAATGGTGAACCTAAAATTCAAAAGGCTAATATCTTGAAACCGGGCATGTAACTTCAGCATCATCATTATACTGAAGCAAATACATTGATTTTCTATAGCTTTATGGTAATCATTTCTGGCCTGCTTGTATTAAACTCCAAGTTAATAATTATATTCTGTCATATTATAAGTGAAGTAGAATAGTTATAATCTGTTTTTACTTAATTAACTTGTCTAAAGTATATACCTTCATAATTTCTACTCATTATATATATTTTGTTTTACTGAAGTAAAAGATGACCTTGAGGACACTGTCCTAATTTAAAAAAGTGAACTGAAACAATTAGATTATAGTTTTGAAATGATTTATTCACTTAATATTTTCTTTAAAATTGTTATTTTTAAACATTGCTGTAAAGTTTTTGTTTTCCCTTAATTGAGAATTGAAGTTATTCAGTTAGACCAGATATAGTGATGATTGAAATTTATTATTATTGCCGCTTATTCTTAACAAAATATATGACACATTATGAGATTCTAAGTACCTAATTTTTTAACAAATCCGCTTTCTGTACAATATTTTTAAGCTAAATAACTACTGCATATGAATAATGTTCATAATAATAATAATAATAATAATAATAATAATAATAATAATAATAATAATAGTATTAAATGCAACAATTTTCGGAAATCCGCTTGGTGTAAAAACATTTTGTAGCGTAAGGTTTAGGTAACCCGCCAGAAAATTGAAATATTGATTGTTGAATAATCTACTCAGTAAATTATAGAATTTTCTTGGCTACCAAATGTTAAACTTAACTCATCCCATCATAATATACCAGAAGAAATCAACCGATTATGAAAAAGAAATCTGTTCACTTTAACTCGTTTTGATGTTCAACAATACTAAAATATTCTACAGTTTAAGGAGGAATATGTAGCTTCCATACATTATCACCATTGTGACTAATTCTGAACCTCTGCAGTTCCTTGTGTCATAAAGCAGTAGTATATACCCTTTCCTATACATAATCTACACTAAAATTCAGAGACCTCATGGATTCGTACCGCATTTTCATTCGGATACCGTTATCCTTTTACAACCACCGTCATATACATGTGTCATCTTGTTAGGTATAAGAGACGCTTAAGACATCGAAATCGTTGATCATCTATCAATTTCTGCTTTTAACGCGACTGTTTCTGCAGTCTGTATCGTAATTGGTACACATAGTTGTTAAACGCTATTGAAGTTTTATTGATAGGCCAAAATCAAACACGTTAAGATAAATATTGACTAGCTACATGTTGCTACTGCAACGTCACATAAAGTTCTTTGGTTCGATCCTTGGTAGGGTCATCGGGTCAATAAATACATCCTCACAAACTTCATAACTGAGAATTTGCTTATCTTTAGTTGTACAATACTTAGTTATGCATTACTTCGAAAGATCTTCTACCCTTGTAGTGAAGTTCTGTATTCAACCAATGGCTGTCATAGTTAAATTTACGTTCAGTACATTGCTTTGTAGTATAGTTAGTTATCTCACATTTAACCCTTTAATGTAAAATAACATCTGATTAGTCGTTTTAAAGCTTCCCAATTCAAAATGATAACCAATTTTCATAAAGGAATTTAACTCGATTGGTAGAAATAACTAACTATGTAGTGTAAGGTTTCGATAACGGGAGTAAGGACTGAAAACCTTGGCAACTGCAAGATTCCACATTTTATTTTATTACTATTTATTATTTGTCCTTTGGGTTCCTAGTGGAATATAGGTCTTCAGTAGCACGCCTCCATTACACTCTGTTCTCTGAAATCTTTTGAACCTGGCTCCACAACTGCCCACAAGCTCTCATTTCTTCCTCACAAGATCTCCTCCACGTCACCCTAGCCTCGGACGCTCAAATCGTCGCTTCCCATCTAGGTCCCACTCGAGGGCCTGGCCTGGCGTGTGATATCCCCACTCGGCCTTCTCAGTGTATGCCCAATCCATCTCCACTTCCTTCTGCTGCATATTTGTTCAGCGATAGCTTCTTGGTTGGTTCGTTACCAGCCACAGTAACTTCCTTGCTGCTTATTCTTATTATTCTGGCCATCTGATCTTCAGTAACGAGCCAGTGTAGGTAGTTGTTGATGAATGTTTGTAGTTTGTTGCAAATCCCTTTCGTGACGCGCCAAGTCTCTTAACCATAAAGCACCACTGACTTGACATTGGTATTGAAAATCCGCATCTTATTCTTTGTGCTGAGTGCAGTGTAGTAGATCTCCACACTGATTATTTCAGATTAATGAAAACCTGTCTTGGTTTTCTGATCCTGGCTGCATCGACGTCCTCATCTGTGCCGCCTGTAGTTGAAACAGTGTTGCCTAGATAGGTGAAGGAGACTACTTCCATTAGGTTTCTCCCGTTCATGGTGATTGGTGCTTGTTGTTGGTGGTGGTGTTGGTTGAGTATCTTCATCACCTCCGTCTTCTCTGCACTCACTTGAAGTCCCCATTCCATCTGTATCCACAATGTATATGGTATCCTCGGTTGACAGATTCTACTACCACTTTTTATTTATATTTGAAGGCGAACACATAAGGCTGACATTCATAATGTTTGATCTAAAGAATGTACATCAAAAGTAAGACAGTAGTTATCTATATTTATGATCGAATAAGTTAAATTTTACAACTATTCAAGGAACTACTCAAATAATCAGTTAATTATCTTTATTTTGCTTTGAAATTTAGTTTCATCAAATACTCAAAATTGTTTGATTATTTCAGTAGTGTTAGTTAGATCAACCTTTTAAACAAACTAATTCAAACTGGCTACCATGGAGATGAGTAAACTTAAACAAAAAGATATATTATTGAGGAAAACTTATTTATACTACATTTCTATTCATATAAACTATAAATTTCGATATTATTAATGTTTTACTTTCAATTATGCAAATATGGTTTGGTGGCAAAGAAAAAAACTATTTTGTTTCAACGGTAATTAGTTTCAATGAAATAACTCACTTGAAATAAAACCTATTGAACAATATAATATACATACAAGTAATATTAAAAGAGATGAACGATTATGAATTGTAAAGTTATGCAGATTGTTTGGTTTAATCCACATCATTCAAAGATTACTTTCCAACTCAAAGATGGTAATAGTGTGTTACCAATTTCGATATTGTATTCGATCCAGAGTTGAGAGGTATTTTTAGGCAAATTTGAATGAGAGGTGAACACGACTTCACAAAGAGCTAATGTATTTTGAAAGTGTCTAATAAATCGGTTTAAACAAATGTAATAATGCTTATATATGGTTTATACGATTCTGGAATAAAACAGTTAAAACTATGGTGATTTTATACAAATCAATCGATGTATTGAAGTCAGACATGAAAACAAAAGACACATCAACTATATATTTATCGAGTTTTTAATACTTCTTTACAAAAGTTGGGAAAGTGCCCAACAAAGCATTACTTGAATTGTGATTGGTGTAAAGATAAGTCTGATCAACTGGCCAATAAAATTCATTCCTACCTAAAATATTACTTTTTTCAATGTCATTCTGAAAGGCTGATGGAGAATGTAAGAGGGGAAGACGAATAATAGTGCCTTCAGTACAGATGTTGTTGTATATCAATGGTATGTCCATTATTATGATTATTTGCTAATTTTCCGAGGAAAGATTAGATTAAAATAATCTATCCTTCGATCAATATGCCTTTTGGTGTATGTAAATAGTGTCATCCATCGAAATGTCATATTGTATTTCAAGCATTAGCTACCTCTGAGATAGTGTAATGTGTTGGACACCTAATTGGTTCGATTTCTCGTTATATTTTTGAAAGTGTCTTATCTTCTTAGTTGAGTATTGCTAGTTAGTGTTCGTCACTTTTATCATCACATAACAGATGTATTTTCATCCATCTGACTAGTTCCAAATAAGACGAAACGCATATCCTGGACTCTTCTGCTCGTCACAACCAAGTAAGTTACCATAATTAATATTCAGGTATCCACACAGGAGCCCATATGCCAACAGAGGTCTAACAATTCGATCCAGTAAAACAACGGAGAATTAAAAGTACATCAACAAAAATTTATAACTAATACACGTTATACAAGAGTAGCTAATGTGCCATAGTGGCCTAGTGGATAACGCTTAGGTTTTTGAAGTGATGGGTAAAGGGTTCGAGTCTCTGTGGGTATAGCATCACTCAGTGAGGTGTAAGTATACCGAACTGACCAGTCCCAAATACGGAGAAAAGTGGATCCTGATGAAAGCTAGTCAGTAGCGATGGAAGAAGAGAGATAGGCAGACATATCAACGTAGAAAATGATACAGAATTATATCCTTCCAAGTTACCACACTTCTTAGTAGTATACAAAGAAAAGGTGAATAATAAACGAATGACATAAAAATGGGTACAAGTATATGACAGGAGACAGAATAAATAGATCAAGCTTAATGAGAATACTCAAAACAGAAAGTCTACATGTAACTAATCGGTCCAGACCAACAGTAATAGAGTTCACCATCTGGCTGTATGTCTTAGTCCTGTCACCATCAGATTTCTTTCAACTTAACCCTACTCTGATTGACACAGAACATTAAAACAGGCGGTAGCTTAGGATGCTAAACACATTTGCCAACACCTCAACCAATGAAGGTTCACAACCTCACCGACTTATTTATTTTTTTTACCTAGTGCTAAACGTCTGAGAAGGCAGACTGGGGACATCATGCGTCAGGCCCTCGAGTGGAATCCCCATGGGAAGCGACGAGTTGGTTGCACGAGGCGAGGGTGACATGGAGGAGATCGTGCGAGGAAGAAATGAGAGCTTCTGGCTGTCGTGGAACCAGGTTCAAAAGATCTCAGAGAACAGAGGTCACTGGAGACGTGTTACTGAAGCCCTATGTTCCACTAGGAACCCAAGGGACTAATAATAATAATAATGTGCTAAACGTCTGATATCATACACATACACACACGCACACAAGGATTTCACTACACGTGATATTACGCGCTATTCATAGGGAAATCTTCATCTGGGTGAGCACAGTGAGGAATTAGCTTTATCCAGTCTCTTCTGTCCTGTTATGCTACATTGCAGAAGTTATGAAGCAGTTACAGGTTATTGAACACAGATGTCTTCGCAGCATTGTTCGCTTACGGCAGGATCACTATGTTAGCAATGTTGAAGTTAGGCGAACGGTAATAGGCAAAGAAGACAAGTCAATCAATCAGATTGTGAAACTTCAGCGATTGAGATGGCTGAAAATGCTGATCCACCACCGAACTGGATGTGTCATCTTAGCAGAAATTGGATTAAGTTGGAAAAAGGCTCAGGGTGGTCGAACTAAGACCTGGTATCAGTCCATGAAATCCCTAGCTTCTGTTCTCAGCTATGTAGCCTGCCTGTTTGGAGTCACTAAAAACATAGGCGTCAGCGGTTGAGAAATCTTGGTGACACAATAGCGCTGATGTATTCACTCTTTAAAGTTCCCTAAAACTTAAATATTCGCATTAACCTTTACCGTCAAATTGTTTATTCTCTCACACTCCTTTATCTACTTTGTGATATCATCTTCCTTCTATCCACTTGTTCTTTGTATACTTCTATAAAGTGTTACAACTTGAGGTGATGCACTTGTATACAATGATCTACGTTGATTTAATGTCTATCTTTCAGTTAAACGAACTGCATTCATTCTATTCCTGAGAATATACAGGTATCCAAACAGCTAGATGTAATTAGAAGACAAAATGAGCAAAGAATATTCTTTCCAATAAATTCTCAGTAGGTGCTATAGTTAGAAAACTAGACAAATTTTAAAGCAAGTATATATTTAGAGATGGAATGCAATTAGGCATTTTTTTTTCAACGTTAAGATGACTTGTCTACAGATGAAGAATGCGATAATGGAAGATAGAGAAAGACAATAAACAAAGAATATGGGAATAGTGTTTAGCTTTACCACTCCCAAGAAATAAGTAACGTCTAAAGGTGATCCTTCTGAATGCAGAGTTAAGGTTTAACCATTTTTAATGCTATTGCTTCAAGTGTATTGGGACGGCTTTAGTGAGCTGGTATTTTTGGGAAATGATTTATACCAGTAGAATTTATATTGGTATCTGTGGTATAAGTATCACAGAACTTATCATAATTTAACATCGATCCCAGTCACCAGTTCATAAGAGTACAGTGGTGAGGGAGACGTGGAGAGTTAACAGGGCTAAAGGCAGTGAAATAAAAATAACAATATTGTCAGTAGGGACTTAAAGCAAATAAACAAGTATACAAGAGATGGCACAAGTGGCTATCGTGCCCCAGAGGCTTAGCGGATAACGCTCTGGCATTTGAAGCGAAGGGTACTAAGTTTGAGCTTTGGTGGGAACTACATCAAGCACTGAGGTGCAGGTATATTCAGCTGATGATGCTCAAATAGGACGAGATGCACGACTCAGATTCCTCTGCTAGTTACCAAGATCAATACATACGAGCGATTTTTGGGCAAAATAGGTTATCACTTCGACTGTCTGAGATAACCGCTGTTTGGTAGACTAGTACTGATACTGGGTAATGATTGAATGTGAAATAAAAACTCCGACCGCGACCGGATTCGAACCAGCGAACACTGGGTTTCCGACCCAATGCTCTACAGATTGGTCTACGAGGTCCGACTGCTGACCATATTTTTATTTCACTTCAATCATCATAAGGTTGCCAGACTACCATGTGAATTAGTAACGTGTTACATTCGCTTGATCGTACTCACACTAATTGCTCAGTCAAGACTTCTCATCCCAATTCAAATCTAACTGAATTAGAGAGTGGTAGCATAATATTAATTATCATCTTGACTATTGGGGAAAACCCTTGGTGACTGAAGTGAAATAAAAACCTGGTCAGCAGTGAGACCTCGTAGCTCAGTTGGTGTAGCACTGGGCCAGAAAGCCGGTGGTAGCTGGTTCGAATCCGGTCGTGGTTCAAATTTTCATTCCACCTTCAATCATCACCCAGTTCAGAAGTAGGCAACGATTTAATATGAAAGAATTCACACCATTATCGCTGGTCTTTTGCCATATAGCTGAACGTTTTCAGCCATAATTTCAGTGATGTTGCAGATCCCCAACCAGGCATCCCAAATTCCCTATACACCAAAAAGAATGGTTCTATTTGACAATACAACGACTCTTAGCTACATTTAAAACCAGCTCTACTCCAGTTAACTGAGCGCACTTCATTATTTGGTAGTAGTGAAAAGAAACAGAACAGCAGAGATCAATCTAAGAAGTTAGTTGAAATTTTCTTATAGCACATCTTGTTACCAAATATAGAGTAAATAGATTAATGGTGAAGACTTTGATAAATAAGTGAGTATAGCAAATTCATAGGTAAGTCAAACTTCTGTTCACCATACAAAATTTTCTTTCTCTTGTCTTCGATGTAACGTCAACATTTGATAGTTGCAAAAAATAAATAGTTATGGTCAGTGAGGGGATATTCTAACTACCACATTCCAGTTGTGACAACTTCATACTGAAATCTTCTGTGAACACAGCATACTTTTCGGATACTTACTTGTTTGCTTGCTCAGTCGCTTACGAGTATATATGGCACTTGAAGCAATCTGCCCAGGGTGCGAGTCTCAGTGGGAACAATATAGCTCACCAGAAGGCAGGTACACTCAGCTGACGAGTCCTATGTAGGAGAAAACGCTCTTCATGTTAGCCACTATACATCATTAAGATAAAACTGAAGCAGGTTTCGCAATTTTTTGGTTGACTGAAGTTAGTCTATGGAGACTTTCACTTCACTCAGTTTTCTTTTATATCGTGTCTCACCAAGAAAGAAGCGTTTTTCAAGTTGTAAGCATCTAGATGTTGGTTATGCTATATAGTGGAACGAAGAAAAGCTCAGATATGTAGGTCCCAGTAGTATATATAGTGATACAAACTTTCCTCAAAGAAAATGATTGTTGGAATCCTAGAAAAAAAAACCTGACACAGTTTATTGGTAATTTCTCATGCTCAAAAAGTGTCAACCAAAAAAAGTAGTTATAATTTTCTAATCTCTCTGTTATGTACAGGACTTCCTGAATGGGTCATAAAATTCGTGGTCTTGAATGCAACAGAAGTGAAGAGGATGATTCGGTAGTTGGGTTATGTATTGATTTGTCCACAACTTAAGTAAAGAGCTGTGACTACTAATCAGTATGTAGTGCACCTTCCTGGCACCAAAATATAACTAAGGCTAAAATAAATAGTTTAAATTAAATTAACTAAATAAATCTCTAGCTTGCCTCCGGATGCTTAGGGTGTTTTAAGTTTTGTTTTAACGAGCATGCATCCAAGCAGGCTTGGACGCCATTTTGCGCTCCATTGTGCTGGTTACCACGCACGTACTCTGAGTCCCTAGTTCAGCCTTACAAGCC